GATTTTCCACACGAGTGTCGTAAACAGGTTACAAGATAAGCCCGTGATGTCGCGGCGACTTTTCTTTACTAATGATTTTGATAACCTGTACTTATAATATACAGTTTTCACACTTGTTATATTAGCAGTCTGGAGGAGTAGTATGTATACAGAATGTGCATAGGAAGTTTCGTTCTCAGGTTTACTGTATACGAGATCAGTACCGTCAATAGACCGACACAGCTGAAACAGACAAATAAACTTGAGTCGGCGGATTTTCTTCGCGACCGTTTAGCAACAATCTGGTCGTGTGTATTCGGTGGACTGCCGCCTTTTCTTGTTGGCCATCATCAACTTGAATTAGTTCCGCGTCATATTTTTCCGACGATGTATAAATTACCGAGCACGCGATGTTTCAAATCATGGCACAAGAAGACTGCTCTGTATTTGTTTGAAATTCAATTGCTATGTTATATTTAAACAACCAAATTGTAATCCGTTTTTAGAATGTTTATATCAGTTGTTGTTGTGTGGGATTAGCGGTACAGGGGGAAAGATAAGCATTCATTTACTCAGTGGACAGAGGCGGAGTTAATTACCCATGAGCACTTGGTGCAATCCAAGGGATTGAGCGATTCCCCTTTAACATATTATAGTACAAAATAATCATGTTACATCAACATTGTTCACGTTGTTCGAAGGCGGTCATCATTACCTATACTGTTAGGTTTCATTGATTGCCGTGAGTAACCTGCTGTAAATAAACAGGCTACTGTATTCCGTAGATGACAGCTGAACTTCACAGTATTTCACTTACAGCTAATGTTCCTCGTATTCAAATCAGAAGAAGATGCAATTCACAAACCCAATTATTATGGCCTGGAACTTCAAGATACGAGATTATCCGCACACCTGACTCCTATCATATCCCGTAAAAATCATTTCTGTTATCATAGAAGTTTTGACAAACCTCTGCTGCGTGTTTGGTTTGGCACAAGCAAATTAATTTGAGAAAACGTATTGATGGGTTGGTTCTAATTTCTATGTCAGGTATAATTGCCAATATAATCAAATATTATTTGTTTATGAATAATTCACTTGACTTTAAAATGATCCTTGGAAATCGCGATATCGTTGAAAGCTGTGATTGATATTGTGGGTTCAATTAAACTCTTTGGCGAACTTTTTGAGGAAGAAGTCTATCCTAACTCCAGACGTTCTATATAGGCTAGTTATGTGGATGAGACAATGCCGGTTTATGAATTATTTAGTTATCAAGTGTGAGTCCAGTGAGCCCCCAATCATGAATGAAATGTTTAAACTACTGTATATGCTGACGAACATGCATATTAAAACGTAGCAAACGCAGACAATTTGGTATTGAAAACTGTAAAATACATACAAACGGTAGAAAACAAAATAATAAAAGCTACGTAATGCAGCAGTAACTGCAGCTTACAAAGTTAGTAATTATTACCGGATGAAGGTAAAATACGACGGAGGCTGTAATTACTGGCAATGTGTTATTTGTAGCAACAGCGGAAGCTGGAACTGCATGATGTTATCAGTGTTACTGGTAGAATCTGCGAAAGCTGCATTCTACCTGTAGAGGCTGCGGAAGCTGCAACTACATGACTGGTTAGTGATCGAGGCACCCAGGGTTAGCCTGATATGGTAGAAAAGGCATATCTGTAAGTCTATGAAGCATGGTGGATTAATGTAGTGTTCGTGACAATTAAAAAATGAAAATAAATAAAATAACTCTTGCAGGGCAAATGAGAATATGAAATGTGCGATACCCCCAAAATGATGCAATAATATTGCAGAACTGACCCTCAAGATAAGGGAATAGGTTAGCCACTATCTCAAAAGCGCTTGACATATATTTTTTAGATTCCATTAGCGACTACTGATCAATGTTGAATGTGTTTCACTGAGAGAAATCTCTGATATGTATATACCTATTATAAGTATGAGAGGACCAGCGACCAAGAGTGTCAATCATGTGGTCTCGTATCATATGCATGCCGTAGCTGCAGAGGAAGCTGCTGCAATTCTAAACGAGTGACCAGAGTACTTAGCCGACTTAGATGAGCCAATGACTAACTACCACTTCGCCAACAGGTCTTATCCTTGACTGCTAGTGGATGATGTCATACCAAAGCTAGCAGCAGTCAGCGAATGAGTATCATGTAAACTGACATTCCAGTTGCAATGAATGTTGTCATAACATACAACGCATCACTGCCTAACACCCAGTAAAACTATAGACCTTTACTTTAGTCTAAGGAACCTCAATGGAGGGTCTTCACCGATTGTAGCATTCTAACTTCGACAACATTCTCATTAGCATCAAATTTCATTCAAGCATCTACGATATTAGTAACACATTACATCTAACTCCATCTATGACGTTTGGCTTATTGAATGTACAGTCTGTAACATACAGTATGTGGGTGAGGCAGGCATGCATGTATTAGTAAAACCCATCTCTCTTTCGCACAGTACTTTTGTACTCATTCCATCAATGCCCTCACATTAACGGGTATTGATTCAGATTCACATGGACGTGTCAGAGAAGCATTCTGGATTGACAAACACCATTACACCTGACAGTCTAAACAGGATCGATGAGCAGTATTTGTCCTCTAACTGTAAGGGCATCTATGATTGGCTGCTGGATTGGAATGCAAATTTTAGGTTTTAAAAAACCTAGAAAAGTGTTCTATGTTCTTCGTGTAATTAGGTGTTCGTATTCAAGGGTTTTTTTCCCCACAAAAACGATGAAATAGGCCGAATTTTGTTAGCGGTTGGCTTAATATTACCCCCAACGGATCGTTTGGCTGTGAAAGATGGGTACTTTTTTCCTGATTTGTAGAAATCTGAAACAACGCGTTTTACAACTTGTCTATTTACTGTGGTTTTATGCCGCATTCAAGATGGCGTCCCCCATATAGTAAATATCGCATTTATTTTATTATCACTTGTGCTCCAGCTGACTGTGTCTCCCACTGGCAGTGCTTATTATTTTCATATTATCACTCTCCAATTGTTATGCAATAATTTTAACTATGATTGTCTCCTTTATTTCAGTACAGTTCGTGTTTTAGTGACACTACCACTGTACGTAGATGCTATTTAGCTCCTTTTGACTACACGTTATTCGCTGTACATATATAATTAGCATTCATGTTTTCTGCCTGTAGTTATAGTTTGATGAAGGGCTAATTACCTTCAATTTCTAAACGTTAGCAAAAAGCAAAACAAATCTATTTATTTGTTTCATTCATATCCAGTCACAGTCGTAGCACCGCGTCTTCAATATTCAATAAGAGTCAAAAAATTCACGTGATAAATTATTTGTCGCACTGTAACGTGATATCACGTGTTCATCGTACGTCTGCTGTCCAATAAATTGTAAACACGCCTGTAACACATTACAAAAAATGGCCTTTGACCCCTTAAGTCATAACGGCTGTAAGTATATCTATATATTCTATTTAGATTGTGAACATCAGACTGCGAGTAATCATGTCCGATCTCCGAAAAGCTTTGCTCATACTGTTGGTTGTCGTCACATTTGATACGGTAAGTAATCATAGTACACTGCAATGTATTGTATTATTTAATGACATGTGGTAATTTGAGCAATAGGTTCGTTAACAAAATTTAAAAGAGAGTTTCAAATCATGAAAGTCGTTACATTGATTATCGACTGTCGTGTCAAAAATATTACCTAACTTTTATATCTGAATCCATTACAGGCGGAACCTATGAATACATCAATGAAAGGTTTGTAGTGATTTTAAAACCTTGCTCTAGAATTGCGATAAGGCGTTTCAATCCACTGTATAGTCGTCTGATCATCAACTGAGAAGTTCTATTGTATAAACTTACCTGATTTTCTAACAGATGGAGATTGCCTGCCCAACGTTCCCGTGTATCATTGTGTTGCTGATCCCTGTGAAGTAACAGAATGCCCGTTGTATCCAAATGCTCAGTGCGTATCCAACTTCTGTGGTGGATGTAATGCTGATTTTTTTGTCGATGAAAAGCTAGTTGACTGTACCGGTAAGTCAAACGAATGATTATGAGGTGGTTGGTGACCGACGCGAACAAACGACGGATGTATCACAGAGTATGGTGTGGTGTTTCGCGATATTTATTTCATGGACTGTCACTCAACGAATTCTTTTATAGAACTATTCTAACATGGACGACAAATATAATATCATATGTTAAAATAATGTCATTTCTGTATATAAGATACTAACTAACTAGATAATTTGCATATATTTACACCACAGATAACGATCCACCAACTAACGTTGCCTAACCACAATTGTTTTTAAATTATTTCATTTGTTGTCAAAATACCACCAACAATTAATGCGAGCGATAAATATTGTACAATAGACGAGTTTCGAACACTCTAGTTGTGCCAAAAGGGGAAGGGGCGAACTTATAACAGGTCGTTCGTGGGCGTGTTTGTCACCGTTTTGCACACGTTGAATCCGACATCCTTTGGCTTTTTTCCCTCAAGACATATCGTACCAAGTACGTACGTATACCACGAATTCACAAAATATATGTTATCATACTGCATTGTGTTTGTTTGAATGTTTTTCCAACATTCCGTAAATTTTAGGCAGCAAACTCGATATAAAACACAGTTTAAAGGGCGGTGGTCGTCGCGCCACGCATGCGCGAGATATGGGACTCATATGAACAAAAGACGGCGATTTTTACACAGACTAACGAGTACAAAATGGAACGTTACCATGCTTTAACTTGGTTATTTCTTTGGTGAATGGAAGGTATGGAAGAAGTCAAAAGCGGTAATTCGTACTAGTACTTTTGATTTTCCTTAAAAGAGCGCATTTGATTGTGGGGGGAATCAATGTTCACCAACACAAATGTCGCACATGCGCGACGCGACAAACATCACTCTTTCATATCTGCTTAAGGTAGAGATGCAGGTTCGTGGGCACTTTGGAGTGAATTTTTTTTTTGCTTTTTATTATCCAAAAATACATTTAAATTTGAAACTGTAACAGCCATTTTAATTATGAGCATTAGCAAACTTCTTACTGAGTGAATTGTTATGCAAATTAGCAATTTTCTCAGCTTCTTTTTAGTGCACATTCCAGAACTTTGAAAAAAAAAATAGCTCCTAGACGCTATGACCTTTTGTTTAAACATTTTCACAAATGATTGACAATGTGTTTATCTTCAAAACGCCGTCGGGGCATTGTTTTAGTTGAATAGTGTTGCAGCAATCGTTCAGACAACTCAGGCTAGCGTGGGTGTTAATTTATGCATAAACTTGAAGTAGTGAAATTTGAGCTGCTGTCCTACAAAATTGACAACTGGTAGACAGTTTTCAAGACGGCACTTTCTTCATAGTAAACCAATTTTGACAGGAAACAGAAGCATGGTTTAGAAGCTAATTTTTTTAAAATCACTTTTGACCAAAAAAGCACATTTTTGTGCATATTTCAAACTACAGTGTCCATAAAAATAAAATACTAACAAAACTTTAAAAATCATACAATGAGCTTTCCGAAAATATATAGTTTTGTGGACAAGGTCATCTTGATTTCCTAATTAACTAATTAAAATACATGTCAGGTAAACTGCATCTCTACCTTAAAACTGCATATATCTGCTGACCGGTATTCTACCAACGTTATACACAGTCTAAAATAAAGACTGTGCTATGAAATAGCAATTATTGGGACATACCTATTTTACATCCAGAATCCGTCAACCTGCTACACAGGTCATGTTATTTGTACATACGTATTTTAATATAAACTGGTATAATAATAATAATAATCTTTTTTTTTGTCGCCGGATTAAAAAAAACACAAGATTATTCAAAATGAACTGCTACATCGCGTGACAGACTGTAGGTAAAAATATTTATCCAGAGTTTTTGGAAAACAGCACAGGATTGTTCACAATAAATACAATGTTAACATCGGCATTAACTAACGTGGGTGATGACAAAGCTGTCTCACTGCTTGGTAAGATTTAACAGGTTTGATGGGCTTTTCGACTTCTGCGCAGCAGTTGGTAAACTCGGGGTTAAAGTAACGGAGATAAGTTAGTAAACGTAATGACGTGATAATAACGGGTACCAGTCAGCGTTCTCCCGATTAGTTAATATATACTTGCTACGAAAGGACCGAAGAGTGTAGTGAGCTTACTATTGACGAGAATTGACGGCATTGCTTACATGTAACAAACATGGCGGCAAGGCGACATGAACGTGATTCTCTATCAATATGGTGACACATGCCCTTCCTAAGAAATTATGAGCTATCTTCTCCATCACGTGGAAAGATTTACATCATAATTGCAAAATATTATTAAAGTTAAATATAAAATGTTCATTAAAAAGGTATTTCACCGTATTATCCCTCGGTATTATCCTTCGCGGCCATTGTTTAAGAGTCGAGAATAATTAAAATAAAATATAGCACACCCTCTGCCCCTTTGAGGGTTTTTAAAAACAGAACTACAAATACCAATACTGATTGTTTACTCCTTCAGGAAGTGAACAAAAACGCCGAATTCGGCCGAATTTTGTCATCGGTTGGCTTAATATAACCCCAACGGATCGTATTTTTGTGAAAGATTGGTATTTTTTTCCTGATTTGTCGGAATCTGAAAAACGCGTTTCACTCTTATTTAGTTTTATGCTGCATTCAAGATGGCGGCCACCATGATATAGTAAATATTGCATTTATTTTATTATCACGTGTGCGCCATCTGACTGGTTGAAACAATGTGTAGTAAGAGGGGAAATGTACGTATTGTTATGCGTATGTATGTGAAATGAAAGATGAATATTTTTCGGGAATAGAAACAAGACTCTGAAACGTATTACAAGACTGTGTCAGCGAAACACCAGTTGTTGTTTTTAGTGAAACCTATTACGAAGCTGTGTCAGCGACATTTAATACATGCCGGTTTAGCGAGACTTATTGCAATACTGCGTCAGGTAAACTAATTAACAGTCGCTGATCTAGAAGGACTTATTTAAATGCTTGCGTCAGCGAAACTTGATACCAGTTGCTGATTTAATATTTACATTCGAGATCTGCCGAATCGCCGGTAACATGTTGTATACATTTGTGAGGCGGCATATTGCGTGTGCATTTTGTTTCGAAAAAATATGAAAACATTGTATGAAAATAATTAAACAATAATTTCACAAATGTGTGTTGTACAATATATTTCAGCAAGTATGATTATGGCAATTACATGTACGCATAGTGGGTTTAAATAACGTATGAGTTGTGTGATTTGAAACACAGACATCATCATTATCATACGCAATATCCAGTTCGAAACATCACACTTAAAACGAATGTACGAATGAATCCAGTTATGTGTAAGCTTAGTTACATCCGACAATCTTTAACTATATGCATATTAATTATAAGCACTTTTAAATAGAAAAACGTGGGAAGTGCCCTAACCTGAAACCACCGAGTGATTTATCATTGGTACGTTGCGGTCTATTTTGCGCCGGTGATGTAGACTGTGATGGTGAATTGAAATGTTGTTATGATGGCTGTTCTTCTTGGTGTCTGCAACCCATTGGCGGTAAGTGAGTCACATTCAGTTGATAATTCCCAGTAGCATGGCATTCACTAGTCTGGGGTTTGACAAATTAATAACTGACGGAAAATGTTATAAATCTTTATTCACGACTCACGTTGGTTATAAGATTTGTTTGATTCGTCGCCATAAGTGCCGAGAATATATTGTTTATATGTGTAATACCACATATACTCACCATCATTGTTCATATCGTAACCAACAGTGTACATTCCGTAATAATTATGTTTAATATTTACCAACATCACATGCCGAACAGATCATGCTCCAATGTGTTATCCATGCCATATTATCAGGAATAACTAATTATGTATCGTTTGTTCACCAAATAGTGCCGCCATATAAAGATTGCAATGGCCCCGGCGGTCACCACGAGCATGGTGAAACATACCCAGCGGGCGATGGGTGTAACGAGTGGTAAGTACAAATTATGAATTACGTACAGTGCAGTTTCTACAAATATTTTCTCTAGTCCTTGCGTGTAATACCCTGGTCCTCAGAATTAATTAATTGAGTGAGTGAGTGAGTGCGAGAGTGGGTGAGTGAGGGAGGGATGGAAGGAGGGAGGGAGAGAGAAAGAGGGAGGGGGAGAAGGGAGTGAGTGAGTGAGTGAGTAACTAAGTAAGTAAATATTTATTTATTTATTTATTAGTCAACCAATCAGTTCATTAATTAAATAACTGCGATATATTTGTTTTCTTTTCAGTACGTGTAATAACGGAGATGAAGCATGCACCGAAAAAACTTGTCGTAAGTAAATTATTGTCGTAAAAAATAATTGTTTGAATATATATTATCCGAATTACTGCAATTTACATTTATGTCATTGCTTCAGAACAAGTGACTTACATAAGTTAAAGTGTTTTCAAATGTATAAGAGCGGTAGCAATAATACACAAAACCGCAGATATGAATAGAAACTCAAACAAACGACTGACAACAAAACAATCTATAAGAAGATAATCGAACAAGTAAGAGAAAAATAAAATATCTTGGTATAAATACATGTATTTTAAAACGAGTGAAAACATTGTGCTACACATTCTTCCGAATATAATTCCTAAATTTAGAATCATTGATAAAAAATACATGATCTATACATCTGAATGTGACATTAGTATTATAATTAAAAACTAAACTAGAATTTGTACCTTTGGATTTTAAACTTAGTTCCATATAATACTAACTAAAAAATAAATAATCCATTGTTCCGATACTTGGCTAAAAAAACATATTCGCCAAACTTGACAATGAATAATCTCGTCGATTGAAAATTCTAGCGTTTTGATAATGTCATCTTTTGTATTCGTCTCATTCTTAACAAATTAGGTTGAATTGTATCCAACCACTATATATTTGTAACGACAATAATACTTTTATAATTCTAAAATGCTAGATGGATAATGTTCCTAATGCGTAAATTTATCCTGTTGTATAATATAAGGTTATTACGAAGA